ATCAGCTTATTTTCCAAAGACTCTGGTCCAAAGACTATAACTTCTGTTTTGTCTGCACTCAGTAGCAGAAAGTTAAGAGTCATCCAACTTTTTATGTCTTCAAGCCATGCCTGTAATCTATGTAATGGGTTAGCTTCATCTGGATTTATAGACAGATATAGCTGAGTATCATCAGCATAACAGTGGAAATTAATTCCATGCTGTCTTGTTTTGCAATATATCTGATCAGCCTGCTGTTGAAAGAGGTTGGTGTAATAAATCCAACTGTTCAGAGCATAATCTAAATCATAACGACAGCTCCTTAAGACAGAGGTATACTCACACACTGGGTTGTTGCACCATGTGCAAGTCTATAGAAGTGCTGTACACATTTATAGTTGTTGTGGATAAAGGCGCAGGGCTCACAAAAACCACAGGGGACAGTTATCAATGTAAGAAGTTGAAATGAAGAAAATTGAAAAAAAAAAAAAAAAACTGTTGACGTCCCACTTTCAAAATGGTAGAGTACAGTATTAAAGAATTTATGACTATTAATGAGTGCACATTGAACTTTGTGGACTGATGTGAGAAGAACCGCCTGTGTCCTAACACCAGTAAGACCAAAAGCATGGTGATCGACTTCAGGAGAAGACCCCCACCTCACCCCCACATGAACATCCAGGGACTGGACATAGAAACTGTGGGGAGTTTCAAATACCTGGGTGTTCACGTCAATAACAAACTGGGCTCATAATACCTACGCCCTGTATAAGAAGGGCCAGAGCAGCCTCCACCTGCTGAGGAGGCTGAGGTCCTTTGGAGTAAACAGGCTCCTGCTTAAAACCTTCTATGACTCTGCGTTGGCATCAGCCTTCCTCTAGGCTGTTGTCTGCTGGGCCCCTGGCAGTGCAGAGCGGGACAGAAAGAGACTGAACTAACAGATGCTGCACTGGTCTGATGTGGTGAAGAGAGAGTTGAGCAAAAAGGCAAAGCTCTTGATTTACCAGTCGCTCTACGTTCTCACCCTCACCTATGGTCATGAAATCTGAATTATGACCAAAAGAACATGAACCCAGATACAAGTTGCAAAAATTAGCTCAGTTATTGAGGGAGTAGAGCTGCTCCTCCACATCAAGAGGAGTCAGCTGAGGTGACTATGTCTCTCAGATGGTCTGGATGCACCTCTGGCTGAGCTGGAGGAGGTGTCTGTGAAGAGAGAAGTCAGTGAGCCTCTGCTGTGACTGCTGCCCCTGCTAACTGGTCCTGGATCAAAAAGAAGAAGATTAGTACCATTGATGTTTACACTATCTCCAATATATCTAATATCTAAATGGCTTAGAATGTGACCTGTCATTTACTCTCAAACTGTCAGTAGCACACCATTTGCTAATTCTTTTTGGACGGTAGCAGTTTGCATTTCAATCTTTTGCCGAGCAATCAGAAGATTAAACACACACCTATTTCACATAAATTAGCTTGGTAGTGTATTTCAGTGTCTCTTTCAAACTTTAATGAGTCCTCCCCCCCAATGTTCCGAATGATCTTTGTCCTGTGGTCTAATCTAAATCAATAGAAATTAATTATAATGTCCCTCATGTTAGATTTATTTTGTCTGACTGTAGAGAATCTGATCACAAAGAACAAACATTTCAATTAAATCTTATATGCAAATATAAATACAGTTTGCATGACTGTTTATTTTTGCTACTAGGCAAAACATCTGGATTCAAATAAAAGTACTAAGGTATGACTTGACTGAGATGTTAGGGCATGTTGAGTTTTTGGTTCATTGTACAGCCAAAGTAAAAAAAAAAAGCCTACACAGCTCAACACAACTGTTATAATGTGCTAAATGTTTTATTCTGAATACACACCAAGCAAAAAAGAGGAAAAGTTGTCGAAAGATAGGCTGACATGTGATGTAATATCATATCAAATATTAACAATGAGGCCTCCAGAGCATGTTTTTGCTGTTTATACAGGAACATTCCTCTCCCATTAGGCAGACAGCATGTACCAGAAATCTCCTCATTTAGTCTTTTTCTGAATAAGCTGATTTGCCTTTCAAAGGCCACGCCCCCACAACCTGCAACAATGACAACCAGTCAGAGTTCTTAAACACAGTGGCTAGGAACCTGGAATAATACATTTTATGAAGGGCATACCTTGACTGATGATGGTTACAGACTGTTCTGGACAGTTTATTTCCCCTCATGACATCATAAGGGAAATACTTTTTAAAAAGAGTATTTTATGCACACATTAGGTAAGAGATGGAGAAAGGCAAATATAGAGGTGAAAGAGTTTTCTGCATTTGTCAATCTCATACCCAGGTTTTAGGACACTCATGACTATTACAAAATGTTTATAATGTGAAATTTGCATAGGTACTCAGAGATTCACTTCTATACAGAAAGCCCACATTCATATCTTCAGGTAACACAGAGTACATGTCAGACTTAATAATATTACTTTAGGTGATAGTTTCAAGGTGTTGCTTTATTGTACCGGTATGTCTCGTACCATGTCTTTCAGTTGTGCTGTTCTTTTTTCATCTCGTTACAGGTGATGAAGCAGACTGAAAATGTTTTGTCATTGTCTCCTTTCTCTTCTTTCTTTCATCTTTTCTCTTTCTTTTTTCCTTTTCTTCTTCTGTTTTTCTGCTCTATTTACATTGCAGTGTCCATATAAACTGTAAAACTCCCTGCAGAATTATAATAAAGCAATTTGTATGCATGAAACAAGTGGAGCAGTATGGCAATTGCCATACTGCTCCACTTGTGAAAGTAAAATCTGGTGGGCTCCTTTTGGCATCAAGACAATTATTCTTATTGCCACATTGCCAGACAGGACACTGTAAAAAAAAAAAAAAAAAAAAGAAATTTGCATAAATTGAGACCTTTAATCTAGATTTGACACATAAAGATCGGTGATTTCCAATCCAACTGTATTTTTAATGCACTTTAATATCACCTGGGATTAAAGTTTTGTGCAGTAAACTACAGCAAAACTTAGACACAGACTCCTAGGACTTAAAAAAAAACAATAAGAGTAGAAAAATACATGTTTGTGATAAAAAAAACAAAAAACAAAAAACAAAACTAAATATCTAACAGGCTAACGTCAACATCTCATGTAGTGTTATACACAATGGAAGGTCTTTTCATATTTTTGGAGCTGCCGCAGAAAAAGCCCAATCCCCACTAAGCTAGCTTTTTGTTTAAGACATCTCAAGAAGCAGCTGATCAGCTGGCCTGAGAAAATGGGAGGGTGCCGTAGCTAAAAACTTGTAATCAAAACCCCTTAAAAGGGAAGATTCGGTGCTATGTAAAGATTTAAATCCAGTTTGAAAAACCTCTAAAATATCATGATCTTCTAAAAAGCCCATATGTTGATTACAAACCACCTTTTCAAGAATTTTGGAAATAAAGGAAAATTCAGAAATAGACCTATAGTTTAAAAGAATTGTGGGATCAAGAACAGGTTTTTTAAGTAGGGGTTGAACCAAAGCATGTTTTAAATTTCCCACATTTCTCACAGCTGTTGACAGGACTTGGCCAACGCTGTTTTAATATGTAAAAAGAAACCTGCAGTTTGTCCTTTTTCCATCTGCCCTCAGCTTGATGGCAATTCAATTCAGTTTATTTCAATAGTGCCAATTCACAAGACATGCACTTAACAGTTCACCAGATCATCCAGTCAAATTGATTCAAAGTTTTCTATCTAAGTAAAGTTAGATAGACCAGTTGATTGCATCGACTCATTGAATCAAATGGCACACTTGCGTGTCCATGTGTGGTGGTTTAGCCACAGCTCAGATTTAGTTTTTGGTGGCTTCAGTTTAATTTTCATTGGTGCCGTGGAGTCCAACACAGTCTGGCAGGTGGAATGTAAACAGGAGCGAAGTTCTTCTGGATCTGTGTATGCCAGTTTATCTGATTCATTATTTTCAAAACTAAGCTGCAAATGAGGCAATTTAATTACTTTAATTACTTTCTAAAGTTTTACAAGCCTCTTATACTTTTAATATTTGTATTCTAAGTTGCTTTATTGATATATTTATGGATTGACTTAGTACATTTAAGATTATTTTAACTTTTTATTGTCACTGTATAATTTTTTTTCTTTTTCTTTACATTTCTTTCTTTTTTTTTTTTTTTTTATTACATTACATTACATTTCTAAGGCACAAGAGATGAAAAAGTGCCAAAAAGACTGATGTGAAGACTGGGGCAAATGAATGTACATCTTTCCTGTCAAATACAATAATAAATTTGATCAATTCAAATTTATAAGAGAATAAGATTAATCTTCTTGGAATACATGTAAATTACCATGTGTGGTAGAAGAATAGACCACAAATGCAAACAAAAAAGCTCCTCCAAAAGCATTATGCAGTCACTCTATTTCTTAAACAGGGACAGGGAGGTTGGTCAGAGTCAGTGGGAAGTATAGGACTGCGTACATAGAAACCCTGGAAGAAACGTTGCATAAAACTTCATACTAACGTTAACCTTTCAGAGGAACAACATCACTAAGCATAAAGCCAGAGCTACACGTGAATGGTTTGAGTAGAAGAGTAAAATAGTTGCTTCCAGTCTGATTAAGCTGTATCTACTTTGCAATATAGAATAGCCAAACAATGCCCTAGATTGCAAAAAAAAAGTGGCTACTGAGGTAAATTACTGATCTAATTTGGAGGGAAACACAGTGCTTGTATAAAGATACACACACTCATGGTGTGTCACACTATCCTTTTGGGCTCATTGGAATCTAAACCTATTTTCAATTCACACCTTAGTCCTAAACCTAATTCCTAACCCGAGATCAAAACTTGTCCTCAGACCAGTCCTCACAACTACCTGTAAGTCCTAATAATTTGGCATATTCCAGGGAAATTAGCCATAAGTTGTCCTCACGAGCTAACAAATACATGGCCATACACCCATACACACACCCACACTTTGGGTTGTGTGTCTAAGTAAACACAACCGCTTATAAATATAAATTGCAGTCAATGGTGCTGGAATTCCTTTGCACCCAGTCACCCAGTCACTTGTCTTCTCTCCCTTTCACTTTGTACACACCCCCAGCAGGTGCTTTCATTTGAGGTTTAGTTTGCTGTTGTGCTTTAGGCTGTGTCTTTCAGGTTAAGAGACATTTTGCCAAAAAAAAAAAAAACTACGAGGGGGATATCAGGCCTCAGCCTGGGGCTCATCATCGCCATCAGGGAAAAGCAGGCTTTGGAGTGGCTGCTCTAAGCCTCACCTTTGTTCTTAGGTGGAGAACCACATCAGCAACCATCCAGAGAGGCTTTCACCCATTGATGCATCTTTTCTGAGGTAAGGAGACACTACTAATACCGAAATCCAAAAATGTGATTTTTATGTTTTTGTCCATAATAATACAGATTAAAACTATTTTCTTGGCAACTTTGCCAACCTTACTTTTCCAATAAAGGGCTTTGACTTCTATACATGTTTATTAAGTTCAAAAATTCTAATTTCTACTACCTTTTTTAGGGGTTAAAGACAGCATTATCACTGACCACATGTTATGGAGAGCAAAATTTTGTTTCACAAGTTAACATTCATAATAGAGTTGGCAGGCCTTTTTATTTTGTTAAGCTTTAAATTGCTCATAGACCATACAGTCTAAAAAATATATTTAAAGTATGCCATTCATTTGATTTCATTCACATGTAAGGATTATTTACTGATAAAGACTGGATTAGACCTGTTGATTCTTGCATGGCGCTACCTTCAGGATGTCACCTCAGTCATATAAACTCCAACGGTTTGCATTAATTTTACTGTCATATTCAATTAATTTGAATATGTCTTAAAAAAAAAGGCATGGTAGTCAGATTAAAAGTACTTTTATGGATTGTAATTTGTAAACATGTACTAAGCATGCTTTTCATTAAGTCCATATTTCTGCTGGTTGAGAATGTGGTTAGGGATTATAAGACTGTTATGTCATTCACTGAAAATTTATAACCCATAATTCAAGATAGTTAGAATTCAATTTAATCTTTTTGAAACTTAAAATAAAAGAACGAATCTTCTCTCAGCAGTGCTGGTGAACAGTTGCGGCCCTACAACATTATGTTTCCTTGAAGAGCTTTCTGTTTGCAAAGTTGCATGAATTTCAATGGTTGCTCTCACTTTAGATTCTTGCACAAAAGCTTTCTTGATCTTTGTCTGTTGGAATAACAGATTGCAAAGAACCAAGGCAGCAGGGACAATTTCATTTGACTTGACCTACAGAAGCTACAAGTTAGGTAGCTTCAGAAAACAGCATAAATAGTCAGTTAAATTTAGCTAAACTGCAAAAAAGTTACTTTAATGAAAAAACTTGACTTGATTTCCAGTTTCTCATTTGAATGTATATCCACAGGCAAATCTGCAGCACCTCATTGTAATAAGCTAGAGAGGAAGCTGCAGTTATGTAATGTACTCTTTTAGAAAACTGAGCGGAGGTGGCATTTCCAGTTTTAACCTTAGTTTTAACATTACTTTCAGTGTCTATGTTGGTGATGAGATATTTGTTGAGTAGCATACAAAATTGTCCCCGCTGATCAAGCTTCTAAGCCTCAGGCATTTAACTACCATTTTCTCATTCATCTCTCTGGGTGACAGGTCTAAATCTGCATCAACCAATGAAGGGTTGAAGGCTTATCTTTGCCATTTAGTACAAATATATAATCCTCTGACAGAACGTTGATGACTTTGGTTTCCAAGGATTTTGGCCCAGTGCCTGTGCACCTGACTGCAGGAATGATTCATCCTGTGCACCATCATCCCCCACCTTCAGTTAAGACAATCTACATAGGGGTTGGGGATATAATAGAAGTTAATAGCAATCTTTCTGAACAGATAAGAAACAGCACTTTGTGACGGTCTGAACATGAGATTTAGAACAGACTCTGCAGATAACAGAGAATGACCCTCCATCTGCGATTCATAAAATAAGCAAATACCTTAAAACCGACCCTGATGTGCTGGAATTGCATTTACAATGTGAACTGAACATATGTATATAATAGTGTTGCAATAAAAATTATCTAATCCAACAGGTTTCTTACCAGAAACAAACACGCAAAGTTAGATAAAGCCCCTAATTCAGCCTTATTTGCAGCAAGTTAACTGCCTTAGTGGGTCCGACATCCCATAAGAAACAATAACAAGGAAGAAAATCTTTAACGCTCACACAGCAAACAGTCACACTTGGCTTTACACCAGCAAAGCTCTCTGCCAGCATGTTTTTCACCATTAGATATGTGGTGTCAGATGTCATTCACGACCTTGTCGTTTTTAGCATTTCTTTAGCTTGTTTTAAAGCCGATTCATGAAATTTGGTTAAATTGTAATGAATCAGCAAACTGGTTTCACAGTTCTGTAAGAACTTTCAATTGAGGAGGGAGGAGATATCAAGGATTTACTGTTTGACTTCAGAAATGATTATTTTTGGTCATTTTCTGAAATTTCTTTCAACTGATAATGTAACACATTTTCAATAAACAGTCATTAACACTGTAGGAAGGAAAATGAAACCTATCATGATGAAAACCTCTTAGCTTCCCAGAAAGGAGTTATTTTGTGGAGTAAATGGAGCAAGCTCTAAAGCTCCTGAAATGAATATCAGCTTCTTGACCAAACTCATTTAGAGATCAGTCAGGGTCTTAATCCCCTTCTCACCATGGGGTGTGAGTTTGTGTCTTTTTTCCTGTGTCTGCTCTTCCTTTTGGAAGAAGGTAATATGGCTAAATTTGCTTCACTAATGGGTTTAGTGCAAGCTGTTGCACAGCAGAGTTGACACACAGCAGCAGGCTGGGATACCAATGGTGTTTAATCTCAGTCCTGATTGAGAAAGGGGGAGGATGGGTTGGAGGCAGAAGATAAAAGGAAAACCAGGGAGGGCGATATCAACTAAAGAAGTAAAGAAGTAAGACTGAAAGAGGAATCTTCAGAAAAATATAAATTATAATTGTTCAAATGTTGGGTCTGTTTGGTAAAAAGATTATCTTTTTTTTTTCTATCAGTTCTTGGTAACCTCAATATCATATCTCCAGAAGTTAAATGATCTAAAATAACCCTAACTATGTCCACTTAAAAAGTGGCATTTGGCCTTACTGGGTGCAATCTATTATTTTACAATTTTATGAGACTTTAATTGTTTGCCATATGATGAAGCAAGCCATGACATAGCTGAACATGTGCTTAGTGGAGAAACACTTCTTTACTGCCACATCAACCACGATCGCTGATAACCCGGTGTGTTGCCGTGGTGTTACCTCCCATATGCCAGCTGTGGCAGGTACAAATTATTGGTGCAATATGCAAGATTACACCTTAGGTGCATGTTATGAAGGCAAGTGTTCACTTTTCTTAACAATCTACTGTTAGGAGGGACCCTACGCCCATTGGACAGGCCTTTTAATTGAGAGTGAAGTTGTCTTTTGCCAATACATGGTCTTGGGCACATTTTTCGCACATTTCTGTCTTTATTAACTACGGTAACTTCTTTTTGATTAAAAACTCCAGCTGACTTTGGAGACAGAGGGCTGCAGAGACGGCACCTTGGAAGCCTGAAAGTGGCAGCAGGGCTGAATTGGTCTCAATACAAGTCACCTACCCCCAAGTTGAGCGCCATTCTGGGCCACTGACCCACAAATAAGAGACTCAGTCAAATCCATTTTGCCTAATGTCTGCTGGGGGTGGGTGTCTTTTAAATATCCCTTGAGGTTTATTTTCCTAGAATCTTCCTTCGACTTTCTGGCTGCTATAAAGCTGGAACCAGAGAGGACTCCCATCAGTAGTTCTTGCATCACATTATGGCGTTTCTTGAAGAGTAGTTGCTAATTTAGCAGCTAAATACTTAAGAAAAAGAGGATTGATAAGGTAATGCCGAGCTCTTACAACCTTCAGATGTTATTGAAGAATGCTAAGGCTAATGTGCTCTGTAATCATACATTTCTTATGTCATTTTGTGGGTTATTTTGATGTTTGCATAGCCTTCAGAGCCAATTATATGATGTGGCTTCTCTTCCTCTATCTCCTCAGATGTCGAATCCAATTAGTGGTTTACCAGAGAGCACTGACTTTGTGCCCTGTATTGGGATGACAGAGGACTCTCTCATCCTCCTGGAACGAAACCGATGCTCTGTAGATCCTTGGGACACAGTGGACATCAAACCCAACATAGAAGTACTTGAGCGCGGCGTGCCAAGCCTCTACCTCTCCTGCTATGACATGCTCCTCACTGAAGAGGCTGCCTGTTTGGTGAAAGTGTCAGATGGGTCCTCTGCACTAGCTGTCCACATGAATCGCATGGAGAGCAGAGAGGAGCCAGAGCAGTGCCCTGTCATTGACAGCCAGGAGAATGGTCTGTCTCCTGGGCTTGAGGGGCAGATGGAGGATCGATCATTGGAGCAGGTGCAAAGCATGGTTGTAGGAGAGGTGCTGAAGGACATTGAAACAGCTTGCAAACTGCTCAACATCACTCCAGGTAGGTCAAAACCACACCTACAACAACACACATAATTTTCAGCAGCATTAACGCATTTACCTGGCAAAGAAAAACAAGTATGCCTATTTGCAGATAAAAGAATGTTGAGTAAGAGACCAAATCTTACTTCCAAAATCAACATATTTTTGTGTAAACAGCCCGGCCAAGATGACAGATGTTCCCAATCATATCTTTACTGACGCAGAGCTATGTTTGCCTGCTCCAGGATCTGTTTAATCCTGACCTTTTCAACAAGTTTCCCTGAACAGGGACAGTGATGATTCTCTCCTGCCTGCAGCCGTGTACACAGTCTTAAGGGCGAGGTCTCGCCTGCTTGAAAAACAAACAGAGGAAGCAGTTTTGTGCATTGTATTGCTTCTAGCTGTTATAAACCTACGTGATCCCCAGTCATTTGTTCTACTTATTAAATCTGAAGTGATATAGAACATTAATAACTTCATCTACTTTGCATATGTGTGCAACACTCAGAGAATGTAAAGTCACTAGTTTGAATCAAGACCACTCCAACCAAGACCAAAGAGTACTGAGACAAGACCAAGACCAAGACATTTAGAGGCCGAGACCGACATCTTATATGGTCTTGGCCTTGACTCTGTACTCCTTGGTCTCGGTTGGTGTTGTCTTGCTTACACTACAAGTGACTCCACTTTAAAGGACGGGGAAAGTGTTTCCTATATTTTGTACCTGCCCACAGACCCTACAGAGTGGAACACCGGGAATGTCCAAAAGTGGATGCTGTGGACTGAACACCTGTACAGGTTGCCCCATGCAGGAAAAGCCTTCCAGGAGCTGACAGGGAAGGATCTGTGTGCTATGAGCGAGGAGGAATTTCGGCAACGGTCCCCACTATGCGGAGACACCCTTTATGCTCACCTGGATATATGGAAGTCAGGTATATGGTATTTATTTGTCTATTTGACAAAACACAAATAACCCCCCTGTAGATTCTTACAATGAACACAATGAATGTCTGTGGGTGTGTGTATTTAGTCGGAATTATAAGGTGCTAAAAGTGTTTTCTTTCAATTGACTGTTATATGTTGTACTTTTATCTGCAGCTGCGTGGATGAAAGACAAGTGCTCTGCTGTAGATACCAAAACTACAGGTATGATTACAGTTAGACCTTTACTCACCTTAATGAAAGCCTCATTAAGATAAAACGATAAAACTTTTACATCAAATTTTAAGCTTTAATGAAGCTTAAAATATCATAAAACTTTAAAGAAGCTTAAAATTTGGTATATTCAAAAATTAAATGTTTTGTGATTTTTGGTTGCTTGATATCAACAACCTGAAGGAGAAGATGTCTGTTTGTTTTTGTATAGGCAGCGAGGAGCTGTGGTCTGAGGCAGACTCATCTTGTTCAGGTCAACCGATTCATCTGTGGCAGTTCCTCCGAGAGCTCCTGCTTAAACCTCACAACTATGGTCGCTGCATACGCTGGCTCAATAAAGAAAAAGGTGCAATACCACATCTTCTGGCATTTCTAATTGTTGTTCTCTAAAGCAAACTGACAAACATGGGTGCAAAGAGTAGTAGGCTGTCAGAGATGCAGTGCTTGATAAAAAATACTGTAGCTGAGAAAAAAAGGAGATTGTGTCATAACAGAAGAATAACAGTGTTTCATGCAAAAACAAATACTTGCTGATAAAATACATTCTCAAATAAAGGTTAAACAATATCTCAGTCTACAGGACAGCAGTTATATAATTTTGTGGTTATTTTCTTTAAAAAACTTGTGTGTTTACTTATTGTTTTGTACTTTCTGCTATATTTGTGTGTGTTTTTGTTTAAGATTCCCGTTTCTTTTTCCAGGTATATTTAAAATCGAAGATTCGGCTCATGTGGCGAGGCTCTGGGGACTCAGAAAGAATCGACCTGCTATGAACTATGACAAGCTGAGCCGCTCCATTCGGCAGTACTACAAAAAGGGCATCATCCGCAAACCGGACGTGTCTCAGAGACTGGTGTACCAGTTTGTTCACCCAGTATGAGGCTTCAGGAAGCTGGGAGGAAGATAAGGAGGCTTGTGACAACCTTGACTCCATCTAACAATGCACTTGAACTATTACACCTCAGAGGTGACTTTATACAAATGAACTGCAAAGAAAGCCATCCTCTGCAGGCGCAATGAGGATCTAAAAAAATATTGTTTGTTGCTTTTTTTCCACGCTTCAGAATCAAACTGCCTTGTTGTTTGCATGATCTGCCTGTCGATGGTTCTATGATTAAGTTCACGTCACAGCATCATACCTAAACGCTTTAACAAACAAGCTTCGGGCAGTCATCCCTCTCCTACTTCTTCACCTCTTGTTTTAGTCGCCTTCACAGTCACTTTGTTATGTTGTCTTGCCAAAGCTGTTTGGCAACAGCAGACAGCTTTAATCTACACAGCTGAAGAGAAGGACAATTAAACAGATTTGATAAATATATTCAGGTTTTATTTGCTAAAACCTCTTTAAGGCAGAGCTTATAAGAACACTTTTTTCTTCTTATCAGGTGTAACATAATGAAGGAATGACATTTTCTCTAATGGCACTGCTGAGGAGCTTCTTGTTTTATTTTGCTAGTTACGGTTTATATAGATGTGTATATTGCATCTTAGGTTTCTGATGTTTGAGATTCAAAGTGCTTAAAGCATTACAATGAAGTCCCTGTCATACAGTACAGCCAGCATGAAACAATAAAAAAAAAACGTGTCAAATTCAAGGCCTGTGGGCCAAATTCAGCTCCTCACAACAATTTCAAGAGCCAAAATAGGCATATTATGATATATACTAGAGGCATACTTTCTTTTAAAGAGTGCAAAGTGGCTAAGATTGTAATAAATATGTGTGAAGTTATAATAACAGAGAAGTGTGCTCTTTGTTAATGAAATGATGCAATTAAATGTGTCATTTATACAGCTGTGTGTGTCCCATTTAAGGATTAAAGAAATTAGTTTGGCACCCCTGCTCTAAATGACATTAATGGACATGTTCACTGAATACCATGCACAGTCTTTAGTGTGCTGTAACCGTGACATCAATGCACCAACTTGCTAAAGTGTTCTTCCCTCTTTCCCAGCTTATCACAATACAGCCACTAACTTCAGTGTATTTAACAGGATTCTGTGTAATAGAACAATTAGTGCATGCATCTGAAGTGAGAGGAAATATTTTATTGAATTTTTTTAAATAAAATTCCGAATAGTGTGCTTTATATTTGCATGTAGCACTGCGGAGTCAGTCTTTTTGAAAAAACAACACCTTTATATGCAAGCCTTTATTGCATGCCTTTTATAGCTAACAACATAACATTTTCTTCAACCATTTTCCAAAATAGTTTAGGTTCAAACAGTTGGAGAGTACCTATAAACAGCATTTTCAAACCTTGCCGTATCTAGACTTTGATATGGCAAGACTTTGATGTAAATGTTTTTAATAGCTCTGGTAGTTCATTTAATCTTTATTGATGGTTTTGCAATCAGAGGTCACATCAGTGGGGGGTGAGAATGTAGACTAAGGGCTTGATCTTCAAAAGGTAGTGCATGTTAAAACAGAATAGATCTTTAAAAATGGCGCACAGCAATGCATGTACTTCACCAAGCAGCAGGGGAAAACCTTTTTTTGTGTTTCTACCGTCATCAATATCCAGATCATTTTCTAATTACCAAACCAATTCTTCAAATTTAGCATTTAAAGGTAGTCACAGTTTTAAATCGTTTTTGGGCATCTTTGAAAGTCAGGTGCAAAATCTTGCAAAGATTTATGTGGTCATCTGTCACAAAGGGAGCTTTGGTACAATGCCAGACGATACAGAGAGATTCTGTTGCAATGTTATCATATTTGGATCATTGGAAAGAACTATAATAGAATAACAATATCTAGAAAAGAATGTCTGCACAGGATCTTGCAAAGTAATGCAGCAGGGATAGGAGATAATCTTTATTCATTTGAACCAAAACAAAAACAAGCAAACACAATAGAATATTAACAGCTATTAGAGAACATTCAATACAGACCAACAAAATGGAGGGGTGCATGTCTTACTTGTGACAAGAGGAATTTTTTTCTCTCTTAATATTTTTAACATGCTCTGTTTGAAGCAGTTTTATTAAATTATTTTGGGAATTCCCTTTTAGTATAATATTAGATCAAGGTGTAAGTAAATCCAGCTGTTTAGAGCATAATCTGCTGTAAATGTGACTGCTGCTCCTTCTATGTGGTTTGGAGGGGTGGTCAAATACTGTAACTTTAATCATTTCATTTTTAACTTTTGTTTGAAGCATTTAGAGATAAGCTGTCTATGTGATAAATCATTATCATTTTTAGAATAGCTATTGCCATTATTACCTTCAACAAACCTGCTCGTAACCTAATTTTCTTGTATTGCCTCTCTCATATTGCCAGTACGACATGTGATTTGCTCATTTTAATGAGTGAAACCAAACCAGTTTGAGTGCATTGTAATTTGAGCAATCTTTGTAGATCATCTGCAACACTCTCACCTATTGCTCATAAATGTTTTTGCACACTCACACACTGTTTGAAAATTGGTTTAATAGGGTCTCATCTGACTAGATCACACTTCACATGCTTATATGTTCACCACGTCACCAATAATGGTGACATTGATTTTCAGTTGTTGTCTATTTATAACATTATTCCAACACAGTAATCAGTATAATAAATGGATTAGTGCTCTGAGATGCTGCAGGGTAACGATATTGTTTGATATCCTACATCTGAATTAAATCTCCAGCAATTGTTCTCTAAAAAACCTCTAAATCTTCAGAACACCTGAATATAAAATCCCATCACACTTCATGCAGGCAAACTCTCCTCTGTGGCTTTTAAAGGCCTTTGGTTGCACAAGATTCAATGGTAGGAGATGAACGGCAGCCGATTACTTATGTCTGTAGCACTTTTCAGGATTTTATTTGTAGACATTTAGAAAAACATGATGCATAACTTTGTATTGGTCTACCAGAACATAGTAAAAAGGCCTCAAAATTAGTTGTAATTGTGAAAACCAAAGGTGTTGTAAACTCAAGGAGGAACAAAGCAAAACGTAGTTTTAAACATGGTCGAAATGTATTCAGGAGTAGTTTCCTAGTGCTAGATTCGCAAGTTTTACCTCAAAAGTATTTAAAACACGATCAAATAATCTGCTTCCTGTGCAAAAAAAGAACTTAATGTTTCAAGAAGAAATCAGTTAACTAAACTTGGACTTTATCTGTGGGCAGTCTGCAATCTGTGGTGTTACAAATTTAACGACCACATTTTGTTTGGAAAGGTACTATTAATTGCATACATTTTATAGCCAAATTCTTTCTGATTAATGTGATTACTGATGTTTCATTCTGCAAGTTTTACTCTATCTCGGTCAACAACTTTGACAAATATGTCATAATTTCTCTTTCCCTCCAGCGGTGAGTAATAGGGTGAACATCTGCCAAGACATGGTGGCTTATAGTCAAATGGAGCAGGTAAGATGAACTCAACATCAGAGTTCATAAGGTAAGAGGGGAATTTGTTCACACGCTGTTTAAACTTAAAATGAAATGAAAGAATTAGCTAAATCTATTAGGCTATTATCAGAAGTCAGTCTTTACGTGATGTCTAAGGAGACTGAAGTAGGCTTTATCATAAAAAAAAAACTACCAATATAATAAAAGGTGAATATCTATACAGAATGAATTTAGGGTTAAAACTACATTTATCTCTCTGATGAAGGGCAATTATAACCATATTATCAGTGCTTATATTAAAATGAATTTAACAAAGGCATATTTGAAAAGAAGCTGCATAACATCAGAGTTTTTCTAATTGTGCACTGAATTATAACGCATTGTACAAGCTGTTAACAATGTAAACCTATCCATTGCCACTTAGGGTTTATTTTCTGCAACTGTAGCTTTTGGTCTTTGATCTGATGGAAGTGCAGATGGAATCAGAGGGCAGAAATGACAGTGACTAACATAACAAAACAATGTGTGTTTAACCAACCGTCAACAAAAAAAAAGAAACAGAAGCAGTATTCAACCACAAAATTTACTTAGAGCAGGAGATAGGAGTTGTTTTTCTTCTTTTCCCATTGCAGAATTTCTCTGCAAATTGTGTGACACCTAAAATGTAAACAAAGACCAAAAGTTGAAATGAAAACTAAAAACTCTGTTGCCTCTATAACTATAATTTTCAGCTACTTCCAAATCCTGATATACTGTTGTTCATTAAATATAAAGGTGCACATATATCTATAAATGTTCGGGCTATAGGTTATAAAAACATACATGTTAAAATTTAAGAATGTCCAAACTTCATCATTTGGAAGTTATTTTCCTGATGGTAAAGGGCCTATTTGAACTGAATTCTTAATATTATGATTTTTATTTTATTTTATTTTGTTTTTTTTTTACCATTAAGGATTGGCTTAATCATGAATTTCTGACGTTTGTTAAGTAGCTTGTCACTGGTGACCTCTAGTGGTGGCCTTAGATATAAATTAAACGTAGGACTGCTCACATCTAAGGTCCTTTATTCCAGGCGTTGAATCTGCCCCACCTTCGAGGAGATATGTGGAAAGTTTATCTTTTGGCTTTTGATAAGCTTCCTGAGGAAAACTACCTCACCTTTCTGTGAATAATTGGTTTAAATAACACAATTCTAGTCTAACCTTTTTACACGAGAAACAAAAAAAGTAGGGAAAAATTGGAATTTACAAATGTATTTGATAAATCAGTGTATTTTGTAGCTAAGCCTATTGTAAATGCTTTGTAGAAATCAACACATGGATGTGCCAACATTTCTTCTGATAATATTAGAGTGAAATAATAGTTTTGGATCAAAAGGAGAGTGTTCAAAAGTTAGCACACAGCTTCTGCCTAAACAGCTATAAACCACTAACCTGACAACAGCCAGATGCATGTCTCGCTCCACCTGTGAGTGGAGCTAGGCGGAGCGAGACATGCATCTGGCTGTTGTCAGGTTAATAAACCACCAATCAGGCACAAATTATGGATGTGGTGATGGACTCAGACCTCAACCTTCGGAGGCACATAAAGGCAGAAACAAAGTCGGCCTTCTATTGCGTAAAAAAATCTCCAGATTTAGAAGGCTGATGTTTTAGCCTGACCTTGAAAAATAATTAATTTGTTCATTCTTAGTAGAATTGATTACTGCAACAGTGGGCCGGATCTATCAAAGGTTTGCGTGTATAAAAACGTGAGCTATTTCACTGCGCATGCTAAAAAATGTACTAACTGATCTATCAACAGCGTGCTAAAAGGATTTGGTCTTTAAAATGTGCTAAATAGCGCCTGTTATCCATTTAGTACTTTTTCTGCAATGAATATGCAATATGGGGCGTTTACACGCAAAAGTGCGTCTTGTGGGAGGAGAACATGTAAATATATTAATTTAGCACTCGCAAAGTGATTTATTAAACCTGAAAGCAATTTTGCTAACGGTATCTGACTCTATATTTAACACGTTTCAAAAGAAGGTGCAAATGGTCTGTATGCGTAATTGCGCACACATGGCAGCGGTTATTGTCGCAAGAAGGAGACATGGAAATGAAGCAAGGAGACGCAGAGGACGCATTTTTTCACTCCGTGTGAATATTTTTGCAATGAAGGAGGAAACGATCTTTAAAACATATCGTTTATCCTGCATTGTCATTTTGCAGCTGTTGGGGGAACTCCGAATGGATTTGGAGCCAGGCACAAGGAGGACCCACGCAATACCAGATATCACAAAACTCCTTGCAACATGGCACTTTTTTTGCATCTGGGTCATTCCAGCGTACGGTTGCAGCGAGAGCTGGGATCTCCCAATGTCGTTTTTTCCGAAGTGCTGTCCGACGGGGTCGGGGTTCTCCCCCTGCGCCTGTGGAGCAACGTGCCAAATGCTGCGGGTATGCGTACGCTCAGCACACATATTCAGCCACATACCACCTTAGGGAATAAAGGTTGCCAAAGTTTTTTCGATATATATATATATATATATATATATATATATATATATATATATATATATATATATATATATATATATATATATTAGATTTTTTTGTTGCTGTTGGGGGTCACTGTAAGATTTAAATTTCTTAATGCACTAGTTTGTACAAACTACTTTGCCGCAAACCACAAAACGCGCAAAACCATCATTTAAATAGGGCGTCTCCAACAGTTTTGCACCTGCCACCAGTTACGCAATCACTCTTGTTAAATCACCCGCAAACCATGGTTCAGCCCCTCGCGCAAAATTCCAGTTTGCGAGCGCAAATTACTGCACGCAAAATTGGATCTTGATAAATCCGGCCCAGTGTCTTTACATGTATGCTTATAAAGTC